TGAGTTCGTACTACATCACACATGCAAATCCAAATGAAATTCACAAACTGTCTTGCTCCATTCCATCGACGATAGCACAGCATTCTCCGGGGTGATCTTACGGGGTAGACAAAATTCCAACCGGTATTGTTAATGGTACCTACAACCGGCCACAAGTTTCAAGTCAAAGGAGGATATATAGTAACATAGAACAGAAAAAGGAATCAGCAAGTAGGTTGCAGAATCGTTCAAGGCGAAACATTGGATTGAATAATTTCACATTCAACAAGCATATATCTAGTTGAGTTGAACCTACTTACCCCACTTTGCTAATTATCCATGTTTGGCGAAACTAAGGTCTCCATATAGATCACAGGAGGACCATCGCGATCGGACAAGCCTCTCGATGCAGGGAACCTTATAGTGTTGTTCTTGGAATTGTAAATGAACAAATCTTCACCGTTATTCCAAAGAGCCTCACCGCTGTCTGAAATGTAAAGTGGAGTGTATAACATTGCATCGACCACAGCCTGATCAACACTAAACAACTTAGTCCAAGCATCTGTCACCCTTGGCTCTTTCATCACCCATACCTCACACGAACGGAAACCATCAAATTGCACAACACAAAGACGATCAACAAATGATTCTATGTCCCAACTAGTACCAGCGCCATGAAATTCAGGTAGTTTCACCTTGTTATATTTTTCTGTTGCAAGATCAAGTGAGACTAGGGTGTCCCTCTGGTTATTCCTTTCACCCTCAGAACTTGACACTCGATAGTAAAGACGGCCAGCAAAAAACTTTGCATCCGCCTCCGTATCTGATGGAACCCCATACTTAAAATTCTCGATTCTCCTCCATGACGAAGTTTTCAGAGCAAAGACTTGAACTTGAGTTTCAGCTGGATAGGAAATCACTACTACCACTTTGTAATCATCAAGATGACTATCATAACCAAATCCAAAATACGTGTCAGACATTTGCACCTGTTCCTCTAACATATCATAGGGGAAAGCGGGCAATGTCCTCATAACTCTGGAAGATGGGTTCCATACCGCCACCTGGTTGTAACGCCAGAGAAAAGAGCAAAGCAACCCATCGCATGACCCAACAACCCGATCCTCAAATTGACTGAATCCTTCAAACAAACCCCCAAGCTCGATGGGGTCGATCCGGGGGCCATTGTATAAAGACTTTACCGACCACGAGTGCAAACCCCAATCAGCAACAGGAGGACTCCCTTCGAGGGGTTGGTAATCCAAGCGCTCGATGAAGTTGAAACAACTCCTGAACAGCCTATCAACGCAATTCGGCTTGACATCCGACAACACTTTCATACTTCTCAGATGTTCTTTCACGAAATCGGGACTGGAAATTAAGGTTTTGAACCATTTGGAGACGCACCTGAACCGGAGGAGCGAAGCCACAGGTAGCCAAATCAAAATCTTGACGATGAGATCCGGATGAAGCACAGGAAAAGGCCGCCGGTGCCGCGCCTGCGGTACCCTCGCCGCCGTGGTGTTTTCAACCGAAGGAGTCTCCACCATTTCGATCGGCCAAAGGAAACGACACAATTTTTTTTTTTTTTTTTTACAATGGAAACGACACAAAGGGAACCGCTATGAGCGGTTTACTTTACTGCTGGCTAGTTCTAGGGTTCTAGCTGGGCTTACTTGAATCGGGCTTTGAAAGAAACACCAAACAAAACCCAACTCCCTCGACCCAATAGAAAATATTATTTTGTGTGATGTGGATATTTTTTGAAACGATCTTAATACGTTTTACTAAGGAACTGATAGTTATTTTTAATAAATTGATATTTGTCTGGGTTGTATGGATACTTGTCTTTCCTAGTCATAATACATGTTTCTCACATACTGATATTTATTCAAAATATTTTGATTTGTTTCCTGGTTGTGTGGATATTTAATTGAACTTGATGAAATATTTCCTTAGTTCATGTGTTTGGATATTTGAATTGAATCTGAGGAAATATTAACTTAGTTCATGTGTTTGGATATTTGTGTGGAACCTTAAAATATTCTCGGATTGGGCACATGTTGATAGTTTTATTGTTTTAGTGTTTAGTGATTAGGGTGATAGAGTTTAAAGTTTAGGGTTTAGGGTTAGGGTTTAGGGTTAGGGTTTAAGGTTAGGGTTTAGGCCTAGGGTTTAGGGTTAGGGTTTAGGGTTAGGGTTTAAGGTTAGGGTTTAGGGTTAGGGTTTAGGGTTAGGGTTTAGGGTTTAGGGTTTAGGGTACAGGGTTAGGGTTTAGGGTTTAGGGTTAGGGTACAAATAGTGGATATTAGTTTGTGTGTTGTGGATACTTGTTTTTTCTAGTTGTAATACTTTTTACTAACAAAAATTTTGGCATAAGTTGTAATACTTGTGTGGATATTTTGGCATAAGTTCCAAAAATCATCTTATTGATCTTTTCTACTACGTCGACAGCGAGGCCAAGTTTGATGAGGGTTTAGAGTTCTGGTTTTCAATTTTTGAAAGATTGGAATATTGTGTCTTACATCAAATTAAACACACTAGCAAGTCCTACACACTATCAAGTCCTAACACGTAATGCTTGCAACCATAGTTAGGGCTGCCCGCCGAGGGCCCATAGGCCGAAGGCCTATTAAATAATATTAGTTTTTATTGTTGGTGTTTGGATATTTGTGTGGAACCTTTGAATATTATCAGCTTGGGAAAACAATAATAGTTTTATTTTTTTAGTGTTTTATTGATTAGGGTGATAGAGTTTAAAGTTTAGGGTTTAGGGTACAAATAGTAGATATTAGTTTGTGTGTTGTGGATACTTGTCTTTTCTAGCTGTAATACTTTTTTCTCAAATTATGATATTCATTAAAAATTTTATGATATTTTTCCGGGTTGTGTGGATATTTATTTGAACCCGAGGAAATATTCCTTTAGTTCATGTGTTTGGATATTTTTCTGGGTTTGCTGGGTATTTGTCTGGGTTGTCTGGATATTTTTCTGGGTTGTCTGGATATTTAATTGATATTAGTTTGTGTGTTGTGGATACTCGTCTTTCCTTGTTGTAAACTTTAGGGTTTAGGGTTAGGGTACAAATAGTAGATATTAGTTTGTGTTTTGTGGATATTTATTTGAACCTAAGTAAATATTCCCTTAGTTTATGTGTTTGGATATTTGTGTGGAACAAAATATTGATATTAGTTGGGGTGTTGTGGATATTTTTCAGTATTTGTTGTAATATGTTTTATTTATTTCTTGATGGTTTGTTGTATTATTGTGGTATTTGTTTGTGTTTCTTGGATATTTCTCTGTACCTATTGAATATTCATCTATTTTTTGTGTTGGATATTTGTGTGGATTGTTGAGATACTATTCGTGGTGCCGTGGATACTTGTATTCCAGAATATCTTAGTATGGGTGGGCCCAAATCAGTTTTGGGTGGGCTTTTGGGTCTTTTCAACAAATTGGGGAAAGAATAGAAGTGATGGGCAATTAATGCCACAACCACTTTTTCTCTCTCAACTCTCCCAACCCCTTCTTCTCTCTTCTTTGCTCTGAACTTCCTCTTCTCTTCTCCGACGGAAAAGTCGCCGGCGGCGACCTGCCTCTTTCCTCTTCTTCCTCCGGCGTCCAGGAAACGTTGCTGATGATGATCCATGATGAGGCCGAGTTAGATCCTCCACAAACGAGCTCGTCCCATGAAGAAGAAGAATTTGTTGATGGTGTATTAGAAGGTTTGACTCAAATAGATGGTGGTTGTGGGTTTGGCTTCGATGCTACAGTAAAAGAAGAAGAAGAAGAAGGTGATTGTGGATTGACATATTTATAAGTTTGTGTTGTTGAGTTTTGGTTGGGAGCATTGAATGAAATTTAATGTCTTTGGTGTGAGTTTAATGTTTGTTGGTCTTCTTGGATTCTACTATGAGCTAGTTGGATACTTGTTACCTACTGTTTGTTGGACGTAGTTTGTAGCCCATGTTTATTTTGTGTGGATACTAGTCTGGGCATATATTATATTCATTGAAATATTGTGGATACTAGTACGTTGGATTATAATACTGATGTTTATTTTGGGTGGATACTAGTCTGGGCATATATTATATTCATTGAAATATTGTGGATACTAGTACGTTGGATTATAATACTGATACATATTTGGAGAAATGGGATACGATTTTAAGATTCATGGATACTACTGTTTATGGATATTTGTTACACGTATTCTAGTGTGAGTTTAATGTTTGTTGGTCTTCTGGGATTCTACTATGAGCTAGTTGGATACTTGTTACCTACTGTTTGTTGGACGTAGTTTGTAGCCCATGTTTATTTTGTGTGGATACTAGTCTGGGCATATATTATATTCATTGAAATATTGTGGATACTAGTACGTTGGATTATAATACTGATACATATTTGGAGAAATGGGATACGATTTTAAGATTCATGGATACTACTGTTTATGGATATTTGTTACACGTATTCTGGGAATTTCTCTGGGCGCATTGGATACTAACTGGCAATGGAAATATCTCGCAGCTCACAACACTTCGGACCTAGAAGATGATGAAGCGAGGAATAACATCTTTTTTCGCACTAAGGAAGAGTGTGTTCGTTTCTACGAACGCTATGCTCACAAGAAAGGGTTTGGTGTTCGAGTAGATTCGCAACATTTGAGAAAAAGGAAGAATTCTGAAGGAGAGGTGGTGGAAATTTATGCCTACCTTTATTATGTTTGTAATAAGGAAGGGTCAACGGAAGAAGTCAATGTTCAGAAACAGAAACATGGAGAGGATTCCGTTGTAGAGAGAAGTCGCACTAAAAGAAAGAGGTCTCGAATTAGGGGTGAATGCCCCGCCCTTGTTCGTTTCCGATGGGATGAGAATAGGGATGGATATGTGGTGCACAGTTTCATGGGAGCTCACAATCATGATTTGCAGCCCACCAAGCATGCTCACCTATTAAAGTCAAACAAGTCCGTTAGCGTTCCTCAAGGACTTGTTGCTGAAGCAAATCGCAATGCCGGGATGAGCCTTAGGTCATCGTATCAGCTATTGGCTGAGTGTGCCGGTGGGTATGAGAACTTGACTTTTACCAAATGTGATCAGAAGAACCATTTGAACAAGAATAGACAAAAGACTATGTCTCGTGGCGAAGCGACTTTCTTGATGGACTACTTTCAAGACCAAAAGGAGAAGTATCCCGGCTTCTTTTATGCTGTAGAGGTAGATTGTGAGGAGAAAGTTGCCAATATTTTTTGGGCAGACAGTAGGATGCGTGAAGATTATGCACTTTTCGGAGACTCTGTCTCCTTCGACACCACCTTCCGAACCAATAAACACTTCCGGCCATTGGGTATGTTGACCACTTATTTTCCTTATTTTTTTGGACAACGCAAACGGGTGATAGAGTTTAAACTTTAGGGTTTAGGGTACAAATAGTAGATATTAGTTTGTGTGTTGTGGATACTTGTCTTTCCTAGTTGTAATACTTGTTTCTGACATTATGATATTTATTCAAAATATTATGATGTTTTTCCGGGTTGTGTGGATATTTATTTGAAACCGAGGAAATATTCCTTTAGTTCATGTGTTTGGATATTTTTCTGGGTTGTCTGGGTATTTGTCTGGGTTATCTGGATATTTTTCTGGGTTGCTGGATATGTGTCTGGGTTGTCTGGATATTTTTCTGGGTTGTCTGGATATTTGTCTGGGTTGTATGGATATTTGTCTGGTTATGCATTGTTTTTAATACCAAGTCTTTTGCAGGGATGTTTGTAGGTTTCAATCATCACCGACAAACTTGTGTGTTTGGCGCTTGTTTGCTATATGACGAGACAACTCCTTCTTTTGAATGGTTGTTTGAAGCATTTAGTCGGTGCATGAAGAGGAAACTCCCAGTGACCATCTTCACAGATCAGGACGCCGGTATGGCAGCTGCCCTTAGAAAGGAGTGGCCAGATGTGTTTCATGCCCTCTGTACTTGGCACATCTTGATGAATGCGAAGAAGAATCTTCGTAAGAGCAAGAAATTTTGGCATAAGTTCCAAAATCATCTTGCTTATCTTTTCTACTACGTCGACAGCGAGGCCGAGTTTGATGAGGCATGGAGCAGCATGGTTTCGGATTGTTTTCCCGGTAGTGAAACTGTCGATGGCCACCAATGGATGCAATATTTGAAGAAATTTCGTCATCAATGGTGTTCCTTATATCTGAGAGATCAATTCACAGCGGGAATGTTGACAACGCAAGCCAGTGAGTCGTGCAATTCACAAGTGCGACTCTTCTTGAAACCGAAACATAATCTCGACGAGTTTTTCATTCACTTTACCGGGTACGTTATCCAAATACTGGTTGGAAATTTATGGATATTACTTAGCCCCTTAAGGACATTTGTAGATTATTTTCTGGTATTTGTATGTGATGCTAGGATACATTTTTGTGTTGTTTGGATATTTTCTCTGTTTGTCATGGATACTAGTCTGGGCAATTTGGTTTTCTTCATACATGCAGTTTGTTGGCTGACAAAAGGCGCAAAGAGACTGAGTCCGACTATGATGCCTTACAATCAGCCCCTTACATAGTGTTGGAGAAAAGTTCCATCCTCCAACATGCTGCCAAGATCTTCACGAAAAATATCTTCCACCGGATTCAAGAGCAATATCTGGAAATTGAGGACTATCTAATTGAGCTTGTTCAAGATAATAGGGATGATGGCTTCATTAGCTACCGTACATATAAGATGGAGGATGATGAGCGTAGCGATGAACGTGTCATTCTTGTCGATACTTCTACGGCCACATTGGTATGCGATTGTAGGATGTTTAGAACATTCGGGGTCTTATGTCGGCATATGCTTAAGGTGATGCGATTTCTTGGAGAGTTTGGGAACGATAGTATGAGAACTATTCCAGATCATTACATACTCAAGCGATGGACGTTGGAGGCGAGAAGGAAAGAGGTTGGTGATGGTGATGCTGATGAGAAAGGCGATACTTCACATAGTCATGAGAATGAGACGGGAAAAGGAGATATAGCAATGAGGTACCGAGAAACCACTGCAATGTTTAATCAGCTCGCAACAAAATTGTCAATGGCGGATGAGAAAGTGTACAACAGGTGGATGGGAGCATTGCAGAAAGTGTGCAAGGAGGCAAACAAGGCATTGTCAAAGACTATAACTAGCGAGGACGGTAAGTGTATCGAATATTTTTTGTAAATTAGTATAAGTTAATATCATTGGATGGATTACTTAAGCCACTAACATTGTAGGGAATTATGTACCAACAACTGGCCTCTCTCTCAAAGAGAAGAGTAATCCAAGGAAGCACGGCAAGGAACGTTATAAGTCCACGAATGAGAAAGAGCGTCGTCGAAAGAAGATTGTCTATGGAAAGAGATTGAAAGCATTGGAAGTGCTAGCACAGGAAAACCATTTTCAACATGATGACCATCTCACCGACTTGGAAGACGACCTTGCTGAATTTGGGAGTGGATATTAGTCTGTCAAACTCAGATATTTTTTAAGCAGGCTACGATATTTATCTACCTTGCTGAATTTGGGTGAGGATATTAGTATGCAATGTAGGGATATGTGTTTTGGTTCTACAAATATTATCTCTAAACATTCGGATATTTTTTTAGTTTGGGTGTTTTGGATATCAATTTGGGTCATATGATATACTTTAGTTGAAGGAAAGATATTCTTAATCTATCTTTGATAAACTAATAAACCGAGCAATAATTTAAACGACAATAGTGTTTACTTTTGTACAAATGTTACCAAAATAACACACTCCAGCTTATACTAATAAAGCGAGTGATCAGGATAGAGTTATTGTCTTCTTTTCTCCAAGGACTTCCCAAAATGAAACATAAACATCAACAGTACATAAGTTTCATTTAATCTTCCCTTTTTCCTTATATGCTGCCCACTCCTTTGCATCGTCAAGTACGACATTCCTTACCTTGTTGTACTTCCATTGAAGGAGACTGGCTGCAATGGATGCTCGCTGGTGCTCGACGTGCTTGTCCAAGTGCCAAGTTTCCTTGTATTCCGATGGAATGTGGCCCGCCCAGTGCTCCAAGAACATGCACGCGAACACTCCACAGTCATGGTTTCCATCTTGTTGAGGAACATCCGCAATGAAGAAGTCCCAATCATGCAAGGGAAAATCGAGGTCGTACTTTGCAAGGAAAGCAGCCCCATACTCAAATATCAATTTCCCCATGGGAGAGTGATCCACCTTGGCCACTGCTGGCTTGGGTTTCTGGCTGTCCAGAAGGAAAGTCTTCTGACTCCTTAGATCAGCAGCGTAGACCCGGTAGTGTTTGTCCTTATGCACAGGGAAAAAAACCTGAAACATAGAAAAAAATCATTTATTGTCTCGGACAAATATCCAATAAACCCAGACTAGTATCCAAAACTAACATTTCATGTATTCTGAGGCAAATCTTCAAACAAATCATTTATTGTCTCGGACAAATATCCAATAAACCCAGACTAGTATCCAAAACTAACATTTCATGTATTCTCAGGCAAATCTTCAAACAAATCATTTATTGTCTCGGACAAATATCCAATAAACCCAGACTAGTATCCAAAACTAACAATTCATGTATTCTCAGGCAAATCTTCAAACAAATCATTTTGGGTCTCGGACAAATATCCAATTAACCCAGACTAGTATCCACAACCACGTAAATCAGTATCGAGATAGAATAAGGATTCACTTACATATTCTACTTTGTCCCATGCAACTTGTTTGAAGACTTGATTCCGCTGGGTCATTTCAGCGACCCCATTGAGTCTCTCCTTGGTCGGGGGCACATTCGTTTGAGAATTAAGTAAGGCAAGATTCTGTTTGCAAATTAAAATAATAGCTAATTAGTTTTAGAAAATTCTAAAAATTGTAAGGTGTTAGGGAAGAGCCTACTTACACCAAAACTGAACGGAAAGATAACTTTGTTCTTGTCACCGGCAAGTACTTTGTCGTTCAAGAAATGACCATAAGCCTCAATCACTTGTAGATTGACCCACTCCTTTCGCTTCAATGTCAACAGATGAAGACGAGCGAGAATAATTGAAGGAGTGTGCACCACCAAGCCCTTACCCTCAGGGGTACTGAACACGAACTCAACCATAAGACGAGCAACTGGGTCGAGCTTTGGCGACACATCCTTCGACAAATAATACACTGAAGAGGAAGCATATGGGTTCTTCTTCGACCTCTCGAACTCTGGGGTCTTCAGTGTTGCAAGCCATTCCTCAGGAGTGTAGCTGTAGAGACGGTCCCTCTCCTCATCAGTCATATTCCTCTGATCGGTGATAATCACATCAGGACTCCTCTCAGCGCTCCTATAAGCCGCTTCTACCAACTCCTCCTCTGAAGGCAACATTCCGGTGGAAGCAAGTTGAGAGAACGACTCCACCACATCTTGTTGAGGCTCAACTTCCTCGGCATTAGCAGCGCTAGTAGCCTCATGAGCTATCTGCAAAATGTCCTCAAAAGATGTATCTGGGAATGGGTAGTGTATCACCATAGGGACTGTCGGCTCAACCAACTCCTCATCCGGTGTCTCTACAGTGTTCTCAGCTTCATTCTCCACTTGTGGCTCCACTTGGTCTTCCACCACATCTGTTTGAAGCTGCTCTAGCACCTCTTCAACAGTATTCTCCACTCGGTCTTCCTTCTTTTCTATCATATGTCCCAGTTTTGTTGCAAAGTCCAGCAATTTTCCCATATGCCGGTCAATCCCAGCACCTAGTACCTTGAGCTGGAAGACAAACGAACATTTTGCGGGAATTAAAAACTGATATCCAAACTGCTCGTACAATTATCCCATGTACCCAGACTATTATCAGAATAGAGCGTACAAATATTCTACTTGGCAGAATTGATATCCAAACATAACAAACAAAAATATCCAAATGCATCAAATTAATATCCAAACATCACAAACCATTATTCATAACTGAAAATAACAACAAATATTCAAACATTATTCAAACATTATTCAAACATCACAAGCTGATATCCAAATGAAACCAACAAATATTCCACAACTACAAAGAAAAATCCGACTAATATCCTAAGCCATTCCAACATGGCATCATATTCGTGGAAAACAGTACAACCCCCCACCAAACAACGGAAAACAGTACAACATGGCATCATATTCACTCTTGCTCTTCCAAATTCTGGACAATCGTTTGGACCTTGTCCCTTCGAGCCACCCACTTTTCAATCATGCTCTCAATGATTTCCTTCAATCCCTTAAGCTACACATATGTTGTGAAATATTTAGGTTACTTTATCGTCCAAGTCTACCAATGCATGATCTTAGTTAGGGAGGAAGAAAACATTTTACCTGCCCCAGCGAAAGGCTAGTCAAATCTTCATTCTCCCACCATTCCGAGGAGGGCAACGGTGCACGATCTGGAGGAGGAGCTGAACTGCTCGCAGCTGCTGCACTAGCTGCCGGCTCGAGCTGCCTGCGAGAGGCGGCTTCTTCCCTACTCAGCAGAGCGGCAGCTAGGTCATATCTTCCCCTGACTAAGGGGATAGATAAGGCTTCCCTCTCGACAGTTTGCTTCCACCAAAACCGGCAGCTAGGAATGCTCTTTGTGTGCAACCCGCCTAGCTTCAGAGAGTCCAACAGATGGAGCTGTAAAAAAAATTACAATTAATAAATGTTAAGTTCCATTTCTAGCAATTTAATCAACAAATATCCAGAGTCAACACAAACAGAATCGAATGTGACTAACCTGATATCCACAAATCATTTTAAGCTAGTTTTCATGCAAACAGTATCTTATGTGACTAAACAAATATCCAGCAGATCATACTCAAATACGAAATTCACTAGTTTTCATGCAATTGAACCAACAAGTATAGAA